TTACAGTCTTATATATTTGTAACCAGTATTATTTAAAATTTTAAAAACTGCTTTTAAAGAACCACAAAGCCCATTTTTTCTGGAAAGAGAAAAGTCATAGTTTGTGCTATGTCTTTTTTTTTTTTTAGAGACAGGGTCTCTCTCTGTCACCCCGGCTGGAGTGGGGTGGCACGACCTCAGCTCACCTGCAGCCTTAAACTCCCCGGCTCAAGGCCTCCTGCCTCAGCCTCCTGAATAGCTGGAATTAAAGGCATGAGCCACGATGTCCAGCTCTGTGATGTGTCTTAATTCTCCCAATTTTACTTAGGAAGTTTAAAATTTTACTTATTGCATTTTCTCAAAAAAGATCTTTCTTCATCTTTACTATAAAACACACATGAAAAAGTGTGTCACGTTATTTGTAATGTGTTATTCATAAATGTCCACATAAGAAAAAGAAATGAAAGTAAATGTTCCTTAAACAACAATTTGGCAAGAGATCCCACAATTTTAAATGGTCATACCATTTTGACCGAGTAATTCCACTTCTCAGCATCTATTTCATATAAATATTTGTAACACATACAGAGATTATGTATATAAATATTACCGTAACACTGTCGGCAAAAAGTCCATCAGTAGGAAAATGAATGAATAAAGGGATACCCACAGAAGGATATGTTTGCATGTAAGTTGGTACTGATTTAGAAAGACATTCATGATGTGTGATTAAATGAAGAAATAATGATACAGTTAATATTTATTTGTTACTTCCAGGTACTGTGCTATGCACTATATCATATTATCTCATTTAATCTTTACAACTCTTTGTGGAAAGTACTATTATTATCTTTATTTTACATACCAACAAACTAAGGCCAAGAAAAATTAAGTGATTAGCCTAAAGTAACACAGGCCAGGCATGGTGGCTCATGCCTATAATCCTAGCACTTTGAGAGGCTGAGGTGGGAGGATTGCTTGAGGCCAGGAGTTCAAGACCAGCCTGAGCAAGGGCAAGACCCCATCTCTACAAAAAATAGAAAAATTAGCTGGGTGTGGTAGCACATGCCTGTAGTACCAGCTACTTGGGAGGCTGAGGCAGGAGGATCACTTGAGCCTAGGAGTTTAAGGTTGCAGTGAGCTATGATGACACCACTGCACTCTAGCCTAGGCTACAGAGTGAGATTTTGTCTCAAAAAAAAAAAAGAAAGAAAGAAAGTAGGTGTCAGATCTGAGTCCAGGTCATGTGGCTTCAAAGTTTATGCTTTCAACTACTAAGATCTACCCGTACTCCCCAAAAGTAAGCTTTAGAACAGTACTTATAAGTTGATTTCATGTAAGCGTTAATTTTAAGTGTTTATATAATTTCAAATTCATACAAAATTCATATGTGTACATATACACATGTATGTATGATTTACAAATGCATAGGAAAATCTGGAAAGAGACATTGGAACTTCTAATAGTGTTTACCTCTGTCTAGGGAGTGGAAAGGAAAGGCTAAAGGGGAAACTTACTTTTTTACTTTATAAACTGTATTATTTAAGTTTTTAAAATTGATCATTTATACCTTTTAACATGCCAATTTTATCAGCTAAGGAATATAACAGAGAAGTCAAGATGTGAGACACTTAGCCACAGTTTCATTTTCTAACCTCTGCTTCTTACATCAGGTAAGCTGCAGGCTGGGGTGGTCCCAACCAGGCAAGTGGCAGCCCCAAGGTACCCGCTAGTCCATACTTGCGTCAAACACATGCAGCTTCACATCCTGCACAGGCTGGGCACCTCTCTCTCCGCCCCCAAAGACATAGAGCTGGTTTCCAATGGCTGCCGATGATGTGTGGAATGTTCTTGGGGATGGTGGTGGACTGGTCACTTCTGGTGTGGTCCAAGTCCTGGTTTCTGGTGCAGAGAGAAGGCAAGCACCTAAAACCCCCAGGCTGAGAAGCCTCTGACCTGACGCTGGGGGTGGTCAGGGTCACCTTCCTACCCCCTTCCCCAACGGGAAAAGCATAGTTTTAGGCAGAGATCTCATACTCACCAATGTCAAGGAGGAGGGAGGATGATACTTAGAATTTGCTCAGACAACCAACATCCCCAAGATTGAAAAGCCATAAATACAATTAAGAGTGAAGTCAATTCGTTTTTGGAGGCCTTCAAATACTCTCACTGCACCCTCCTCCACTTTGCTCACTACCGTGCCCCGTGCCCATTCCAAGGAGCCCAACATCTGCTAAAATTCATTCCCACTATATGCCAGAGTCCAAATGTGCCAAATTTCCCAGAAAATGTGGCCAATAAAAGAAAATAGACACTGTCATTACAGTTTCAGTAGCAGTAATAATAATCCCTACTAAGCAGTAAGTGCTAAATAAATACTAGTTCCCTCATTTTCCAGATAAGAGAATTGAAGCAGAAATAGATTAAGTCACTTGTTTAAGATGACATGGCTAGTAAATGGCTGAACTGGGATTTAAACTCTGTTTCGGTAACACCAAGATCTATATATTTTCTACTCTCTGACTTGAGAATAAAATTTCACCACCTGGATAGATGTATAGAAGCTTATTTCTTCTTAGGATGAAGCGTGGATTGTTACAGAAGCAGATGCGTTAATTGAACACCTTCCTTGGGCAGAGTCATTGCCCTGAGCACTGTGCCATGCCCACTGTCTTCACTCCATCCTGGGAGGTGGGTGGAAAGTGTCTCCACCTTGCAGATGAGGAAACTGAGGCTCAGAACACTTAAATCCTTTCCCCCAGGCACAGCACTTGTGACTAGCAGACCTGGGGTTTAAATGCAGATCTATCAGTCTCGCACTTGTTCCACCGTAACACACCAAGAATTATTTCTTGTGTGGGAAATTCTGTGCCTCTTGTGAAAGGCGTGCATTCAATATACAAAATGCTGCACGAAGCATATGCAGTATCTGTGAGATTCAAACATGAACCTATATACTGAACAAGCCTCAGGCTATATCCAAAGCAAAATGTAATTGTCTCTACAGCTACAGATCTTGGAAAGCTTTTGGATCTTAGAGGTAGAAGGCATACAACCATCAGGCTCCGAAGATCCTGGGGCTGTTTGCTGTCATGTCAAACACTAGCACAAATAATCACAAAGGAGTCCTAAGCCATTTGAGAGACTTGCCTTGGTAACAAAAGCAACTAACACGTTTTTTGTATTTCTTGGGCATGATGTCAAATTATACTATCCAGGAGAGAAAAAGAAAAGGAAAGATAGAAAATACATTCCTTTGATAGAAGCTTTCCAAATTCTCACTGTACTTTATTTTATTTTATTTTTTTTTAAAGAGTTGTGTTTTTTTTTTTTTTTTTTTTTTTGAGACAGTGTCTCACTCTTTTGCCCGGGCTAGAGTGAGTGCCACGGCGTCAGCCTAGCTCACAGCAACCTCAAACTCCTGGGCTCAGGTGATCCTTCTGCCTCAGCCTCCTGAGTAGCTGGGACTACAGGCACACGCCACCATGCCCAGCTAATTTTTTCTATGTATTTTTAGTTGGCCGATTAATTTCTTTCTAATTTTAGTAGAGGCGGGGGTCTCACTCTTGCTCAGGCTGGTCTCGAACTCCTGAGCTCAAACAATCCGCCCGCCTCGGCCTCCCAGAGTGCTAGGATTATAGGCGTGAGCCACTGCGCCCGGCCCACTGTACTTTGTTTAAATGGATGCGATCATTGAAAATCAAAGCCCTGTGTTCCAGAACTGATTTCCATCTGCCAAACCTTAACTACATCAACCACAACAAATACTATTCAGCATTAACTATGTGCCAGTTACTGAGTTAACTTAAATACTTGCCAAATTAACAAGGTAGGAACTATTATTATTCCTTTGTGACAGAAAACCAAGGCAGAGAGGTTAAATCACTTGCTCAAGGTCATGGTTAGTGCACAGCAAACTGATCTGATCTGTGCTCTTAACCACTATACTACATGCTACTACCCCGAGCAAAGTAGCTTCATAATCAGCCAAGCACTTTGCTGAGTGTCTATTCTACCCCGTTCCCAGTTGTGATAACCCAAAATGTTTCCAGATGTGGCTAAATGTCCCTTAATGTAATTTTAGTGTTTTCAGATGCTGCTAATAGTTAAAATTCCTATTTTCTATGAGGTCAGAAAAGTTAAATGGATTAATTAGTATAATCCAAATATACTAGAATTATAACTGGATTTATGTAAGCTTATGTGAGTGTTTGTATGTATTTATGTAAATAAAATAACCTCTGGTTACTTACCAGGATTCAGGACTTGTAGACAATTTTGATTTCCTGATTGGTTGGCACCTCCAAATACCCAGATCCTGTTGGGTGTGCAGGTGGGAATAAAGCTGGCATGCTCATACCGGGGCAAGAGGCCCTCACACGTGGCCAAATCCCACTGGTGTGTTCCTAGAAAACATTTTACCCAGTTCCTATATTAAGGCTGCCAACTGTTTATACTGGTTGGCAAAGTTGGGGAAGGTAGTAAGGAGAAGAAGGCTAAAAGTATAAATGAACAACCATCAAATCACTTAAAGGGAAAGTTGTCAACCTCCAAAAAGTTCTATAGTAGACATTTCGAGGGTTGTCTACCTCGTCCATAAACTTTCATTGTCTCTACTCCCCTAAGCACAAGGGTAGATACTAGATGACATGTTTGTACTACAACACCTTGACTTTGCTTTTTTTTTTCTTTTTTTGAGGCAGGGTCTTGCTCTGTCGCCCAAGCTGGAGTTCAGTGGCATGAACATAGCTCACTGCAGTCCTGAACTCCTGGGCTCAAGTGACCCTCCTGCCTCAGCCTCCCAAGTAGCTGGGACTACAGATGTGCATCACTGCACCAGGCTAATTTTTAAATTTTTTTTTGTAAAGATGGAGTCTCACTATGTTGTTCAGGCTGGTGTTGAATCCCGGGCCTCAAGCAATCCTCCCACCTCAGTCTCCCAAAATACTGGGATTATAGGTATGAGCCACCATGCCTGGTGTGCACCTTGATTTTCTAATGTTAGCTGCTTGGGTCTGAGGTAACCACCTGACCTAAAATGGACCAATCAGATCCACTAGCTTCCACACTCTCATGAGGTTACGCTATACTTCCTGCCCTTGGATTCAGCAAAACACTCCTGTATCTGTGTAAGTAAATTCCTTTTTCTTTGCTGGTTTAAGTGGGTTTCT